TTGTGTTGCTCAAGAACATGATGACTTGAAGAACTGAACCGACACAAGCAACAAAAAGAAGAACTTCAGGTGCAGAGAAATCCAACATTCGTTTACGCACCATTATGACAAGGATACTGCCTACTATGGACGATTTAGTGACGCTGAAATAAAGAAAAGACAGCGGATGTGAGAAGAATGAAGGTTGTTCTTAACGGCAATTTGCCCAGATTATCTTTGAAAAAATACCAGCAGGGGTGTAGCCAGCCCATAGACCTGAAGGCCTGGGCCTACAAATTTTTGGTTTGATCATTCTACTGCATGTAATAAATTATGTGTTGTTGGGGTGAGCTAAAAAGCTTAAGAGCTCAAAGTGTTGGTGAGGTCAGTGCGTACTGGTCACGCGTGCAAGTTTCAAGATATGTAGAAACGAAAGTCAGCAAGGCCTTTCTCCTTCACAGAGGCCTCTTTGTGTTATGGGAAGGCTGGGGAGAAAGAAAAAGAGAGTGCGTGGGGAACGATGGGAAGGGGGAAGAGAGAAGATAGGTTTTCGCCTTTTCCCTCTTCCCATCGTCCCCCGCGCGCTCTCTATTTTTTCGATTATTGCTATTTTTAAAGGGATACCCAGCGGGAGCATCTGCGGAGGAGACAGCCTAACAAGCTCAAAGATAAGAAAAATTGCAACTGTCGAAAAACAGACACATATCCCATGGATGGAAACTGCAACGTAGAAAGCATAATTTACCCAGCTGAAGACACTTCACAAACAACTAAGGAAACCTACATCGGACTTTGCGACACTTCATCTAAGTTAGCGTACAGGAATCACACAAGCTCATTTTGCAATGAATGGTATAAAAACGCAAATAAACTTAGCAAACATATGTGGAACTTGAAAGATCAAAACATTCAATACAACATCAAATGGCGAAAAATAAAACACGCTCGATCTTATTCAAATGTGACAAAGAAATGTAATTTGTGTTTATGGGAAAAATATTTTATCCTATGTAAACTAGAAATGTCATCTTTAAACAACCGAAATGAACTTACATCGTGCTGCAGAGATTCTAGAAAATTTTTGTTGAAAAATGTCACCACCTACCTATTTACATCCCGCCAGGCACACCACGCGCCACACCCAGTATGTCTTGTTTTCAAATTTTCTTATGCCAGGAGCCCATGGGCTCTTGCTTATACTATACACTTAAAGTGCCCATCACCTAAAATTTTATATTTTCTTATCTGAAACTATACCTTATTAACATAACTTCTGCGAAAAAATTTTGCGGTTTGAACAAAACGCGATTTTTTTACCAATTTTTGAAGTCTACATTTTTGCGGTACACCCGCGCCGCTGATCATGCAAACTAGCAGGCTCACATATGACGTCATGTGACGCAATTTAAGGAACTCGCATTACCTTGCCTTCACCAGCTGTACAATTACAAGTAAGGATTGAATCACGCAAGAAGGAGGTTTTTCTGAAAAAGAAAGACTTATCAGAACTTTTATGTTTTCTTGTCGATAAGGTCACGTGTTCCTTCCTCCGAGAGAAGACTAAGACGAATGGTGTGCCAAAATGGCGGCAAATTTGAACGTTTTTAAAAAATTCTAAAAAAAATCGTCTTTTGTTCAAATCGCAAAATTTTTTCGTAGAAGTAATTTTAATAAGGTGTAGTTTCAGATAAGAAAATAAAAAATTTTAGGCGATGGGCTCTTTAATGTCAGATTCCGAGGGAAACAGTTAGTTTTGTTTTTCGAGAATCCTGATGTTTCCCGAGACGAAGTCGAGGGAAAACAAAACTAACTGGTTTCCCGCGGGACCTGACATTAAAGTGTTTTGTTATATTTCTAGACTTTCACTTCAACAGCAACAAAAGATAACTGGAGCGAACCAAAACGGTCGACTTATAACAACACCAATTTAATTCTCAAAACTACTGAATGGATGATTTGCAAATTAGTACTTTCCTTATATTATCTGCATCATTTTCCTCCTCTAGCTACTTCTGGGATAACTTTTTAAATCGTTGCTTTTTGGCTTGGGGCTTTGTGTTTGTGTTGTTGTGTTCATTCACAAAAAAGAAAACTGGCAGTGTTTTTCCCGCCTTCTGTCACGCCACTTTCCACCATGCTTTGATCACGTGCTGTAATGTATCATGAGCGGGGTTGAGCGGGGTACCTTGCTTAATGTATCACGATCGGAATACATTTCACAATTATTCCTCAAGCCCGAATGGGCCTTATAGGCTATTGACTGAGATGCTATGAGGGCGAGAGGAATAATTGTTTTAGCAAAATCCAACCAGCTGGTAAAAAAAATGTCGAGAAAAAATAAATTTAGCTAGTTAAAGCTAGAGTTTAATCCTTTTTTGCCGCCAAAAAGCCGGCGCTTTTCGCTACTACTGGGCTATAACATAGTAGTAGCTCAGCCAATCAGAACGCAGCATTGATGATAGACCACTAGTTGGATTTTACTAAAAACGTCATAGTCCGTGATAGCGAACCAATCAGATTG